TGTTTCCTACGAGACGAGTCAATGAGTCGGTGTGGCTAAGAATCTTTCGCTGTAGAAGAAATCTATTCGTATGTCTATTGGAGATATATTTGTGTTCTCTAGTTATAAAATAGGTTAAGCTCACAGAATAAATACCATCGTTCCCTTGGTGTTCGTCCTAAAGAGGTCCTAAAGAGGACTAGATATCATTCATACTCACCAAAAGATGTGTAAGACTTTATTATTGTGGAGTGCCTTGTTTATCTCTCAGTACCTCCAACCATAGCCTTGCCCCTTTTCTCCTCAGGATCAGTGTAGTTGTAGGAACGAGGTTTTGGACTCAGCAATGTATTCGTTTACATTTTAATACATGTTTATTGTTCCTCCTTTGCTGTGTTGTTTTAGACAATCGTGGACTAACAGTTTGAAGTCATTGAACTACTTCCAAAAGTTGTATCGACATCGACAGGATTACGATTTCAGTTTCAATATGATGCTGGATGACCTTATCACGATAACCCATGACTATAAATCATTATAAACACAGAATCAACAAAAACATCTGCGACACGCACCTGGCGCATGGCTACATTTCTCAAATAAATCTGATTGAGGGTGGAGAAATCTGAAAGGCAAGACAATTTCATGAAATTCTGCAACAGCAACATGCACAGAATGGCCTCCGTATAAAAAAGTATCACCACCACTGCTCACATGTTTCCCCGCAGAAGAACATGCATTATGCTAGTGCCATTTTCTGCAAGAAAAGGCTTGCACATCAATGCGTATAATATGGTATTGATATGATCAAGAGTACATAACCCAAGAGTGTGCAACTCCAGCTATGGGGTCTGCGACGGCAGAACTTCACATCACGTGATGAACCCGTGCACTCTAGTGCATGATAGATACTGGGTTGTACGCAGCCCAGCTTTGGGTACAACTCTCTTGTGGTCACTTTGCACTGTTTGCCAACATAACCTTTTGAACCATGTCACTTGATGTGAAGTTCTGCCGTCGCAGCACAGCATAGAGGTTGTGCAAGCAGTTGCACACTCTTGGTTATGTACTCTTGATATGATGTGAAGGCCATCATTTACATTATGATATAGGGCATTCCATTGATTGGTACATGGTGACAGAAAAAACAAAAGAAATTATAGCAATAAAAACTGCTTTATGGCAGTTTTCTAAAAAAAAGTTATTGTGTTCTAGTCCATGGACCCCGTCTAAAAAGTAAGAAATTAACGAAATGTGATAGCTGAAAATTAAAATTTCACACAAAACCTCACAATAATCACACACAGAATGAAAAGCTACATGCAGAAGACATTTTCCCCTCGTGATCCTCTTTCCTATGCATGCATGTTGCCAATTGTTGGTGCAGTACAAGTTTAGTGTTGAAAGCAGCATTTCAAGTGTTGTGATTATTGTGAGGTTTTCTGTGAATTTTTAATTTTCAGCTATCACATTTCGTTAATTTCTTACTTTTTAAACGGGGTCCATGGACTAGAACACAATAACTTTTTTTAGAAAACTGCCATAAAGCAGTTTTTATTGCTATAAGGCCATCATTTTTTATATCTATGTTTCGCGTCAGTTCAACTTCCAGAATCATATGCGAGAGGTGGAAAAAAATAAAAAGTTGCAAAATAATAAAAAAAGGCTCATCAGAGGTGTATGCACTGCATAGTCCATCAGCCAAGAACTCAGAAGTCGTCAAATTCAAGCACCCTGTTGCACTTAGAAATCGAATACTTGATTTTGGCCTCAATGGGGAGTTTAGGTACCCTGTACACCGAATCCGCAAATAAAAAGAGTAAACGACTTGCACGCTCTGCAGGGGGAAGCCGACAAAGTGACCATTTTTGGCATTTCATCGACAGCCATTGTTGTGACCTAAACCCAATCTCCAATCAGTGCCATGCGCGTTTCAGGACTGAACTTTCAGATTTTTGTGAATTATGGGAACAACCTTGCAAATCGAGAAGATTTGCAGTGTAAACCATTGCAGTTTCCGTATTACACGTGTGCCTGGATTCAAATTACAATAAAATAATTGTTGTTCGCCTACTTGTAGAGTGTTGTTCCATTACATACATGTATCTCTTTCACTGTTCTATTTAATTGAGCATCCGAATACATACCTTCAGGAAGATTACAATGAGCTAGTATTGAACATCATCCACCTTCGGGTTTCCGAAGTATGCACCCCGAGTCATGTCAAGCAGGTTTGAAGCGTAGTCTTTACTGTTTGGCAAAAGTTATCTACGCTTCCACCCTGAATGGAATCGCCCCGGGAAGGTCCTGATCCCTGGAAAAATAAGGAACGTGGAGAGCTAAAAGTAAGGAATCTGCGGCGATGCATGTTGTACATCGAGTGAATGCCCTGCAGTTCTCTTCTCCATTACGACCAACTAAAAAACGCCATGGCTCTGGATGCTGACAGCAAACAGTTGAAATAAAGGCAAGGCTGCTTTGAGCTTGTTGCAACCAGGTAGTAGTACAGTTACAGTTGTACTACTTCGAAGTACTATCTACCACACTCGAGATCACCCAAAGAAAAAAGCGATTGAATTCAAAATCAAAAAAATTGTTGGGGATCGTCTGAAGCATATTCAAGCGAGGTACGGGTACAGTCGGGCTTGATGACTGATCAATGCCCTCGGGCTGGTCCCTTGGGCTTTGATCAGCCATCAATCCCTCTGTACCTCGCTTGATTATCTACTTGATACCATTGTAGTTGCAAACAAGTAACTACAACAATTGCAGGACAATAGTCATGTAGTTTTTTGAATTAGTTATTTGAAAATGGAGAGCATCTTCATCTTCTTCCCGGTGCGCATGTACACATATTTTTGGAATCTGTACGTGCTCCAAGCCAACTCACCTCTGCTCAAATCGACGGCGATATATTTCGCGATTTTAGGTCGATCGCCACGGAAAACCACACCAAACGTTGACAAAACTCCACGTGTTTCACTGAAGACGCATTGGATGTCCTGATAAAACGGATGGAAAACTCCGTAATGGCTGATGAAGAAGAAGAAATTTGTCGAACTTCCAAGGCGCACTGCAAAAGGAGTGCAAGAGTTTCGCCAGGGAAAGTAGGCAGGTCGGATTCAGTGATGCTTTTGCTGTCGATTGATGTTAGTTCCAGGTGTTCGATTTGTAAGTGCAACAGGAGACTCACTTTGGCACCACTGGCTGATGGACTAGTACATAGCACAATAGCTCGTGCATGGTGTACATTCGAAAGAAAAATCGTACATCGAAGCACAACATCTGGGTTATCAGCATGAGTAAAATAAATACTAAATATTCACTTTGGACAGAGGAGGCAACCGTTGGTCATGGTGCCTATGCTTCGCTGGAATATTGTACTCAGACTTCAGCAGCGGTGCAAAGAGCTCCGGAACGACGCATCCTCTCAGCTTAGGCGATCAATGCAGTCTGGTGTAAGCTCATAGAATATTGCTCCCAGATGAACGAGTTACCAACGCTGGTCTAGGCTAGAGGCCATTTCTGAATCCCAGCTTCGCCGTATGCAACCTGTCCACACTGATGACTCGCACGATCGTGCATGTTCGATTTTTAATTTTTTTCCGTAAAAAATCAAAACGTATGCGTGCGGACGACGCGAAACATAGCTATAAAAAATGATGGCCTAAGGGCCTGGTCAGACTGCGGCAAAATCGAAATAATCCTAGGATTATAATCCGAATCTCCATAGTAACTTGCCGCCAGAGCGGCAAAAGCGGGAGTTGACGCTCCAAAAAAAAAGCAAGAACGGACCACGCTTTTCCGCTCCAAACAGGATTTGACGCTGATACGCCATTGACGCTGATGATCACTGATTTTTTCATCTCGATATCGAGGAGCTAATTGGCCACGGACAGCAACAAAACTCACAAGGATGGTTGCAAGGATTGCACTGAAGGTGTTGGCGATCCCCAAGGAGAAGGAATTTGACGTCGTTCGTGGAGATTACCACTTGACGCTCGAAATGAAGTTTGAATTTTCACTCTCCCCACATGTGTAGTGTGATCGCGATTCAAATTCTGGACGCTGTTCTGTTTTCGTCAGGCAACCAAAATTTGCCGCAGTCTGACCAGGCCCTAATATGGACTTGCTACGAGAAATTTGTATGTGTATGATGTCCATGCAACAAAAATGCGTGCAAGGCTGTGTTTACATGAAGCGTTTCAACCCGGGTTGAGTTCGACCCGGGTCAGATTTCAACCCGCGATGTGCACAAAGTGAATGGCGCGTTTACATGACGCATTGCGCTTGACCCGGGTTGAAATTTCGCCCCGGGTTGATTTCAACCCTCCCCCCCAAGGGAGGTATATTATGTATCAGATTGCAACGACCAGGAGGCCCTAAGTAGTGGCTGCAAATGACCGATATCCGTCACTTGCAGCTCTGCATCAGAGACCTGTAGCTGGCCTGAAGAGTTGTAAAATTACTCCTTCGTAGCCGGGCGAGTCAGAGCGAGGGCGATTCACGGCTTGGTCAAAAAACTGTCGGCATGGAACGTAAACGTCGATCTGCTGACACAGTTCACCTGGTTCACACGCCTGACCTTGCATGCTGCCTTGCGTGAAAGGAACATTTTTCCGAAAGCAAGCTTCTTCTCCAAAATTCGAAATTTCCTTCCAAAAATGCCGTCGTCCTTGACCTCGAAGCTGAATGTTGTTAGGATAGAAAATTAGCGAAGATGTAGCCGACCCATTCTGGCAAGCCGTGTGCCCTCTGGATATGCAGTTGTTCGCCATGGTCAACAATCTTCTTCTCCTTTGTTCGTACTTTCACTTTCCTGACCACGAATACATGCGGTACCCATGCTCAGGTTAGTGTTTATTTGTCTGTCTATGCACATTCATGTATTACAATGTACTGTTCGTGCTGCAGGCACTGGCCGATCATGGAAATAGAGGAAGCAGCCAGCTTTCTTTGAATTCTCGTGCTTTCAACAAAAAATATGTACACACTTTCCTTGGCTCCTCTTTCCCCATCACCAGCAATCAGCGACATCGCACCTGACAAAAGTTTTTCAAATAAAATATTTCCACCCAAACGTCACTGCTGGTGCTGAGCTCGCGCGATCGAGTGTGAAGTTTTTTTGTGATCTCAATGAAAAAGGATTTTTTTGAACTCACGCTGTACACAACAAGCTCTCTGCATGTCTTTTTCGGTGGAGGTGATTTTTGTTGTTGTTATTGTTGTGGCTGGCGACGAGAAGGCTCTCATTTACGCTAAGTATCTCATAGACAGAATGAGCCTGGTTTTTACGCCAAGCTGATGTTTTCAGCAGCAGTCCGCTGTGGAGAAAATTCAAGCAGTCTTAGGGGCCTGAAGTTTTCGCTGCTTCTTACCGGATCGACAGTGGGAAAGAAGGTACGTTTATTTTATTGTAATAAATCAGGTCGCGAGGTCGACACAATTGAGCTGTTCGTTGCACTGTGAATTTTGTTGCTTTAGGGTGGCAGCGTGCAGTACCTTGTGAAATGGAGAGACTTTATCCTCTATGAATTTGGGAGTATGAAGAAGATATCAGTGACGATCTATCAGGTGATTTCATTTTCATTTTGGGTGAATTTATTGAATGTATTCTTGCATGAATTTGAAAATCTCCCTTTTGTTTGCTGTAGATATTTTGATGGTTCGGGGAATGTTGGGCCCTTTCTCAGATGACGAATGTTTGAGGCTGCTGATGGAGCTTGCACTGCTGTGCAGTGAAAAAATAGAAGTGAAATAGTCACAAAAGGCAGAATGGAGTTTTACGTGTAATAGTGCTCCACATTATTGTGTCGAGCCCTCTCCGCTGGCAGAAGGAAGTTTTCCTACTTGAAGTGAAATAGTCTATTTCTGACTTTCGAATCAGAAACTGGACAAAGGGGGTTGGGACCGAAGAATTTCCCTGTGAAGTTCTTTCCTCCAGGTTGGGATGCTTGCATGAACGTACATGGACAAGGCCCACGGGCTCACTACCTGATTACCTTCAAGCCTATGATTCGCCGTAGTCCATGTCCGTTCCTGCAGTACTCCTCTGGATCTATGACAGGAGGGGATCGTGCTGCCCGGCAGTTTGTCTCTTCCACAGAGAAGGGCATTGATTAATCATGAGCTTACCGCAGAGCACAACGAAAGCATTGTAGCATGAAACTAATTTGTCTGAATACAAATCTGCACAATGGCACAGACGGCTAATGGAGGTAAAGCATAGCATCACCAGCATTGTATTCCTGGAAGCAGTGCAAGTTATAGATTTAGGTATCAATATTTATCTAAGCTTTAGCGAAGTCCAGACGCAGTACATTACTAGTGTGAAAGATAGAAGAAAAAGCAATGATATCCGTATATACCCGGAAAGAGAGGTGAGAGTGGGTGGGAGTAAGTGAAAGCACTTGTACAAGCTAAACATCTGTGCAACCGGAAAGAGCAGAGAAAAGGCTACAGCAATTACACAGGCCATATGTACGAGGTAATTTAGCAGTGAGACCCAAACATTCTTGTAAACCAGAATGCAGCTTCAGCACACATTTTCTATTTCTTCATGTTGTGCTGCTGTTGCCGTTTCCCAACGATATGATGAGGCTCTCCGTTATGCTTCTGCTGGTTTTCCTGTGCAGGTATGTGCTGCCGTAGCTCAGAGAAATCTTTGGCCAGGGTAGCCAAGATCGCATCACCCACATCCTCCTCTCCTTCAGGTTCACTTGTAGGTTTGGCATTCATGCGTGACATCTCCTTCAGTACTGTGTAGGTCTTCTCCTATTGGTTTTTGTCTGCCCATACCATTTGCACTGCTCAGTGGTGTCGGCGACAGTCGCCTCCAGCTCACTATTTTCCATTTTTTCTTTACTTTTTGGATACGCTGTGTGTCCTTGAGGTAGCATTTGAGGCTGACTAGTTCTTCTACCTTTGTTTTGCAAACATTCTTGTCTAGTGTTCAGTGATCGAACCCAGTCAACGTTGAAGCACCCTTGTTATTTCTTTCCGTTTCTTTTTATTCTTGTACGCCGCTGCCTGCAACCGTGCATTTTAATTGGTTTGCGAGAATCTCTTTTCACCTGCAGCAACCAGAGTTTGAAAGTACCGACACAAACTGGAAGCATGCCCTGTTTCCAGACAACTAGCTGCTTCAAAAATTCTTATGTCAGATGAGTGACTGGTTACGCAGCCGACATTATGGTGACATAATGTGTCCTTGTAGTTCTGTTTATTATTACTTGTATATTTCACTGTTCGCGTCAAACTCGGCTAAAGGCCGAGTTTTCCGCATCTGTAGGAACGCCACCACCCTTCAAGGATCGTGTGTTTTAATATTATAGCAGTGTATTTTGGTATTTGCTTTGACCATCAGTCCTTGGCTGATGCTGGTCATACCTTCAACATGTTGACGCGTTTTCAAGGCATTCAATATACGTAGGCCGCAAGATTCTATCTTTTCATACCGAATACCGATGGCTAGTGCTTCCCTACTAGCCGCGCAAGTGTCACATCTGGCTGCGGCCAACTACCCTTTAATTTGTGTGTTGCCGCTATTGCTGTCTATGTCTCTGTGTGTGCCAGTATATGAGGAACGAGAATTGGTGTTATTGTTGTTGTTGTTGTAGTCGTTGTTGTTGTTGTTCTGGTTGTCATGGGCTGTGGCTGTTAAATGTAGGCTGTTGCTTTTGTTGTTGTACTTTTAGTTGAAGCTGCATCACAAACAGGTAACCACCTTGATGATGGTACACAATATCCGTTGAAGAAGCCGCAAAAAAAACACTGTATTCTCAAACCAGTGAGCTGCAGAATGAAACCAAATATCAAGCTGGCCTAGCTGTTAGCCACTCTAAACGAAATTTACACCAAACAAGTTGCTATTTGTCAACAGGCAGTCATAAAATTCGACTCCCTGACTCAGTCACTCTACATTAGACTACAGAGTAGTGACTGTAGTCACTGAGTAGTCTACGTCCTTGTACACGTACATGACAGCATGCATGCATCATGTCATGTCAGTACATCGACAAGGCATGCATCCAGCTCATGACCATGGGAAAGCCCCTACAAAATGGCCTTCAGAGAAAGCCACGCGGTTGGAGAGGTAGTTCACTCGAAAAATCTGAGAAAGAAGTGCTTTTCATCTTCTTGCTGTTCAATGTCAAGCCAGAAACAATTGAGAAGTTGCTTGAAATGTGCAGAATGAGGCGATTTCCTAGATCTTTGAAGTTAGAAAGCGCACTGGACCTGCAATCTTTTGGAACTGGTCCTTCTTGAGGACAGAGATCAGACTAGCCAGGTGACAATGCTGTGGTTTGTTGGCTGACAATATTTGGAGGAAGCTTCAGAAATGACCATGAAGAAGGTCAATTCTTGCTATTTCCTCAAGATCACCAAGGTAACAGATACTTTTCAGTGGAGAAGAAAATCATGATTCTTAGGAGTTGAGATCGCATCGGTTGTTCAATGTTTTTCACTTTCGTTTTTTTCGTTGTGTAACTGTTTGTCTTGTTGGCGTGATTCACTAGTTTGATGCCTTACATTTCGATTATGGCCATAGTTCAGAGCAATTTTCTTCCTTCCAAGATCAATCTCTGCAGTAAAGGCGCAAATATTTTACGGAATTTCGGACTCTGTGGGATGTCATATAATTGCTGGTAATGCACCGCCGCCATGCATGCACAATCGAGCTTGCTTTAATGCCCTGCAGTGCAGAATGCTCCCACCACCGCAACTACTACCGCCGCCACCACTACCAGCAGCAGCAGCAACACCACCACCACCACCACCACCACTGTGACCACCACCACCACCACCACTGTGACCACCACCACCACACCACCACCACCACCACCACCACCACCACCACCACCACCACCACCACCACCACCACCACCACCACCACCACCACCACCACCACCACCACCACCACCACCACCACCACCACCACCACCACCACCACCACCACCACCACCACCACCACCACCACCACCACCACCACCACCACCACCACCACCACCACCACCACCACCACCACCACCACCACCACCACCACCACCACCACCACCACCACCACCACCACCACCACCACCACCACCACCACCACCACCACCACCACCACCACCACACTACCATCACTATAGAAGCAGTGTCCTGCACGGCACGTCTGCAAGAGAAAATAATAGTACGCCAGTGTGGAAATGCCCTGCAGTGCCGTATGCTCCCGCCACCACCACCACCACCACCACTATGGAAGCATTGTCACGCACTGTACATCGATCCACAAGAGAAAATTTGCCAGTGACTTACTAGCACCTCCATGCTGCATGCGGACCTGGACACAGCACTGTTCCCTCTGCAGGAAAGGGGGCGGGGTGTATTTCATTGTCCCTGGTTGAAGTAATAATGACTACATGACAAGATGTCCAGCTAACTTTGCCAGTAACGAACGACCCTTGATCGGGCATGAGAAAAGTGTTGCTATTTGGGAGTTCGCGTCATTCACGGGGTTGAAAATATACGGCTATATTGTTACTAGGTCTGAAGATAGTCTCACTATCCGTGGGTTGTTATACCCGTGGTTGACTGCAGATACGTTTGGATTATTCTATGAGTATGTGAAGGGTATACGTTAATATTTTCTCGAGGATATAGCACGAGGAAATTATGGGGAATGCAGTACATGTATAGAATGGTGCAATCCATTTCTCCCGGGGCACTTTCCCAAGACTCCTTCCAATATTCACTCTTGGCGCGACCCATGTGAACTGAGCGGGGTGTATCGTTGAATATACCCCTCTCAGAACGTCTACTGATTGGCTGAAATCGCCCAAATCATACCGTGCCATGGATCAATGCATGTCAGGGAGTCGTAGCACGCAAGGAAACAACACGAGATCATGATACCCAAAATGATGTACTGTAAAAGCGGAAATTTTCAGTGGTGTTTTATTTTCGGTAACTTCGGTGCCGACAATTTTTACCGAAAAAATGCACCGAATTTTTTCGGTACTACTTAGTAGTGCTAGCACCCTTACCTGGAAAGCGGGTATTACCGAAAATTTCCCTCCACCGAACCACCGATTTTGGAGAATTTCGAAAATATTACACCATCAAAAATGTCTGCTTTTACAGTACACAGATTGGATCCATGGAGATTCTACATGATCCGTGGTTTATGCAACTCGTGATCGTGGACTTGACCCACTGGCCCCAAGCATGGGTCAGTCAAGCGATGCTATATGCGAGCATGTATGTATCGCACTTGCCCCTAAGGCAGTAAGGGCAACTGTCACTGGCAGCCCGGGGTTGAACCCACATTATTAATTTTTGAAATTTTCTAGGGTGACACGAAAAGCTTCACGCACTGGGTGGTCACTCTCTATTCATGTATACCACTCTGCCAATAGTGCATAGAGCTCTCTTTTGAGCTGCCCAGCTGGCCCTAGTTATGATTTAGGCTGAAAGTCTACCGTGCCGTCTCCCTTATTATTATTTATGCTATGACTCCATAATGCATAATTATTATCAAGAGTACATAACCCCCCAGAGTGTGCAACGCCGATCCAGCTCTGCATAGGGTCTTGGTCGAGCGGAATCGGATCTTCTGATGTCATGCGTACACTCCACACCAGCTCAAGGCCGGTCTCGAGGCAGGGCACCATTGTTTTTGATCCAAGAGTACCCGCGACTCCCCGGGTTCCCCTCAGATGTGTACGGTATTATGACGCAAAGATTCGATTCCGCTCGACCAAGACCCTATACCTGTATACAGAGCTGGATCAGGCATTGCACACTCTGGGGGGTTATGTACTCTTGATATTATGTACAGAAGAAAAAATCCCGGGGCTCCGTTGATGAAATTCTGTTTTGTCAAGTGGGCATTTTTGATTATTGTGAATGGCGTGTAGTGCCATAGTACAGTTCCTTTTGCTACGTAACGTTTGCACAAGTCACGTTTCAGCAATTGAACTAGGAAGATCTATGTCTCTGATCTTGTCATTTGGCCCGGCTGGTACTGTGCATTAACAACCCTTGTCAGGCACCCTCGAAAGACCAACAGCGATGAGTTCATGACCCAAGCATTATTTGGGCCGTTAAGTTGACTAAACGGGAGTGTAGCAAGCTTTGATCGGCGTACTTCCTTCCGTACGTAGTGAAATGTTGTCCGAGCTGAATAGATTCTATCTCCTGCGGTTTAGTACAATAGTTCCACACCTAATACTGTAGATTCGACGTCTCCAAGAAAAATCTCCATGGAGACTGGAAACTATAGCAGATCATAAAAGACGCAGCAGCTCAGCTGATTCCCTAGCTCGTGTCTAGGTTCATGTACTTTGGTCAACGTGTTGTGGCAGACTCCATGTGCAAAGCTGCATACTCTTGGGGTTATTGATTCTTGCTTATAATTCATGCATAGATATGAACATCATAATAATTGAATGTTGGCAAGACCCAACAAGGTGTCCCTTAGATCAGATCTTCACAAAATGCACATACTGTAAGACATGTATATATATAACGAGGAAGCAAATCTAACGTTTTAACGGATGACATTTCTTCGTTATAATAGATCCATTGAGGCCGTACTGCTTCATATATGCTGTGTGTGTATATGGCAGAATACTGCAAGATTGTTAACATACCTTCTCGTTAACCTATGAATTTTGGACAATCGTTAAATGTGCGACTCGTTATAATAACATGTCTTACAGTACATCTTGAAAAGCCGTATTTTGGTTTCACATACACGTCTCATTTCTATCACAGAGATCAGTAGCCATGGGCCATTGGTGGCAATACTGGTAGGAGTCGCCAGAGGCTTAGCCAATAATTTCCGTTCTATACCCAATATACATACCCAAACTGGGCACAAATCTATCCCATTCCTTGGTGCTGACCCCTTTGATGCGCCCCCGAATCCCTTAGTATTATTAGTACGTCCAATTCCTTTCGTGATCAGCTCACCACATGCTCAGTACTGTGTTGTAAAGTATGCAAATTTCCGACGCTTTTAAATTGCAGCCTCCCCAGGGCAAAAACACATCTCGGCCACATTGAAATTTCAGCCTGTACTGCTGGTGCCTGTATGCACTGTCACGTTGAACCTTGCAAAACGAATGTTAGGCTACAAATGCCCAGTAAATAAAAGGGGAGAAGGCACTGAACGAAGCGTCAACCTACGAATACAACCTCAGTGCAACAACGTGCTCTTTCTCTTTCTGCTTGTGTAAGCAGAAAGAGCATGTTGTTACACTGAGGTTGTATTCGTAGGTTGACAGTTCGTTCAGTGCCTTCTCACCTTGGGTTACGTAATCTTGTTACCTTTTGCGTTTCCTCTAGTAAATAAAAGGGGCGTTGTCAAATGACAACCGCTCTATTCAGTTGCTATTCACTCCTGGCGAATGCGCTGGACGAAAAATTCTTTTATTGGTGATGTCGAAAAAGTATGCGGTTGTCAGTTGACAAACCTCCTTTTATTTACAATTTAGTTGCGTGATGTCCACCACTTTCTGAATTAAAAATGCACAGGCCGTTAA